TACTCTTTGTGTTCTATGAAATCTTAACCTTCAGAGTTCTTCTTGACCTCTATCTTTTCCTTCTTTTTAAGTTTCTTTCACTAGATCGTACATCCTCAATGGTATTGTTGATTCCTAATCTCTCCGATTACTACCTCTACTACTATGGGATTTGAATTGACAATTGTATCTCTGTGCCAATGTGATATGGCAACTTGAAATGATGTACAGACGTACGAAGTTTTACGTTGCTGTCGATTGATTATAGCGATTCTAGCCAGTAGGATATTTTGTGTTCTAAGGGAAGCAGAATAACATGAGCGGGTAGAAGTAAAAACGAGACGAACAGCATAGTGGGAGGTCATATTGTAGTGAACGAGAACACAGGTGGGGCAACCGAATTGTATTTAACAAAAATTACATAGTTACTCAGTAAAATCGGAAAACCATATCGTAAATTGTTAATTTGCAAAATATCAGTTCATCATATCGAACTGGACTGTTCCTGTTGCAAAACATCATCAATCCATTTTCACTATTCATGCGTTTCATACACAAATTCCATTGTGTTCCCCCCACTCTTCCTTTCTTGATCTTCTCCCATCTTCTCTTCTGCTGCCAGACATTACGTTGACACTCACGTCATATACTACTTATAAGTATCTCACACCACAATATGATCACTTAAAAATCGTATCTAAATGCACTTAAATTCCAGATTCACTGAATCTGGAAAACAAAACTACAAGCAAACGGCTTGAAGATTTTTAAATCGTAACAATTGATATATATCTTTATATTCTTTTTTAAGTAGTAATCGTTATTGTTTCATTTGTTCAATTATCAATTTACAACTGTGTTTAATTTTATACGATAAATATATATACATATTTTAGTATGAATACATTTTTGTAAGTAAGTAAGTAAGTAAGTAAAGTTAATTAGCTGAAACAATAACAATGAACTACCTACCAATGAACTCATGCACTATTCAATGTTCAATTATGTTTTTGGTGTTTTAAATTTGTTTCTGCTGATTAATTTGAGAAATTCTGTAAATTTTTGTTGTTCTTGATAGATTTGATTGTTTTAAATTGTAAAATTTACTAGTTTAAACATTCAAATCACAATTTGAATTCGATTATCGTTGAGTGATTTGTTTGTTTCTTCCACTGTTTACAATTGTATTCATTATGGGGTTGTGAAGATTGTTGAGTTGTTTTGTTGAAATCATGAATCGACCGATGTTAGACGATCGTGAGAATTCTGGAAGCACTGGATAGTAGATGAGAAAAAAAACGCCCTCATCCACTGTGTTCGTTGAGCACAACTTCATATCAAACAAGGTTGAACTCCATTGGTCGTCTAGAGGTCATGCGTTCGTGTGCGAGATCGAAGGACTTAGGTTCGAGTCTTACGAGCGAGGGTGGTGCACTTATAACGAGTCCTATACGAGGACAGAACAGCTATGCAGTGCTTCCAACTCAACAACCTCTCCATTCCCAAAATGCTAATGACCTGGCTCATTAGTGACTAGCTCCATAAGGAATCTTCTCCGAATTCTAGTGAGAAGTCGTGGCCAGTGTAGATCATTCCTGTTCGAATGTGTGAAGCAGTGCTCACTGAAGACAGTCTTTGAGGTTCCGCAAGACCGTGAATTGATCGAAGTTAGACATTAACACCACTGGATACTGGCTCATTGGTCCAGAGGTTAGGCGTTTGCACACAACACTGGAAGCCCTAGGTTCGAATCCTGTTAGGTGCAGGAGTCGTGAATGCGCACTGCTGATAAGTCAGTCCCGTACGAGGACAAAATGGCCGTCTAGTGCTTACAGATTTCAAATGCTGTTCTAATACTGATCGATTCATGATTCCGAAAAATCATATTCAAGTTAAATTGTGATATTGTGAGGTATAATCTCAAAGATTGGTTATGTAATTGCTAATTTATTAATGAACACATTGTAAAGGTTATCATTACATTGGTTTATGAAACGTTGAACTGACCTTGATCTTCATTGTTATACAAATAAACTTGATTAACTTTTGTTTGTAAGATGAGGAAACATGATTGACTTAATCAGTTAGGTCATGGGTCAGTTTGTCAAATTGACCTTATTTGCTAACGCAAATCAGCACAACACAGATCATATGATCCTATTTGATATGAATGCGTGATTTTGCTGTAATACGTGCCTCTACAGTTCAATGGAGGAATATCCACGTAGTAGACAAAGGTGGCAAATCGATTGATGAAAATGTATATTTTCATGCGCTGAATTGACTAGAATATCTATCACCTTATACTCAGATGTTCAATATTGTCTGGGATAGAATCTAATTGAAGCGAGCGCTGGATTAAGCGAAATCAATGATTGGCATCAGTCCTATCGTAGCTTCGGTTGATCTGTAATTCATGGTTGATGACGTTTTACGACATGATCGTCCTATTGGCACAGATATATCTGTGTTTACCAAGTGTTTTTCCATGAATCTGTTCTTACTAATCAGTCAGTTGCAACGTAGAACTTCGTACGTATGTATATAAGTTCATGTTGCCATATCACATCACCACAGAGACACAGCTGTCAAATCAAATCCCATAGTGATAAACATAGTAGAGGTATTAATGGTAATGCAGAAGACTAGGGTTCGAAGATATTAATCAAGAAGTATAATTCAGTGAGATAAGGTTAGGAAGACAAAGGAGAGGTGTTGACGAATCCGGAAGATTAGGATTTGAGAGCTCAAAGAATGGATGCACTTACGCTATCGCAAACGATTTTGAGCCATGTCGTTCAAGGTCTCTAACCATTGGTGACTTTCGTCTCGTGGACCCCAACCTGATAGCCTACATCTACCAACATGACTCAGTCCACTTGTCTGTCAGTAACTTCATGGATTTCTGCCATGTTTTACTTACTTAGTTACATAATTCAATTCAATTGTCAATGACTTCATGAACTGATTCCCGTTGATCTATCCGTCATACAATGAACTGGCTACTACCAATGTAACCGCGATTAGAAACCTGAAAGCACTGAACGGCCGTTTCGTTCTAGTATGGGACTCATCAGCAGTGCGAATCCTGCGAGGTGTAGAAGTCGTGGATGCGCACAGCTGATGAGTCCCTTAACGAAACGGCCATCGAGTGCTTCCAGGCTTCTTCTAATGGTGGTTTAACATTGATCGATTCATGTTTTTTAAATATATACCTTAACTATCTTTACAACCCCATAATGAAAATTGTTACAATCTTCTGTGTATTTGACTTACAGTGCATACTAAAGAAAATTGGATTGGTCGAACATTAGACGATAGTATTGAATTGAAAAACAAACCTATTACATCACATGTTGCCAGAATGGTTGGATGTAAGTTATAAAGCATTCGTTTATTGATTGGTTAACATGCCTAAGAGCACATACACAGTCTCTCATGGTTTAATTAAACTTATTTATTCAATTGAAAATTTGTCAGTTTATTATGACATGCTTATTTGTGAATGCAATATTTGTCCATGTCTGTTATTTTTTGACATCGTCAATCGATCAATGTTAGTTCAACATTGGAGAACTATGGAACCATTGCATGGCTGTTTCGTCCTAGTATGAGACTCGTCAGTAGTGAACATCGGCGACTTCAGTCTTGTGCACGAACTCTTGGCCTCTAGATCAATAAAGTTGAACCTTATTGGATGAGTAGTGCTCACCGAACACAGTGGATGAGATGTTGCAGGAAGACTGTGTATTGATCAAAGGTAGACAGTATCACCGTTGGATGCCAGCTCAGCGGTCATGAGGTTAAGTGTTTGCGCGTGGGACCGTAGGTCCTAGCTTTGAATTCTACTAGTGGCGGAAGTCGGGGTGTGCTCAGTATTGTTGAGTCTTATCCTAGGATGAAACCGCCATCAAGTGCTTTGAGGTTTCTAATGGTGTGATCTAACGTTGGTCGATTCATGATTAGTTGTTGATAAAAACGGCGTGTTCTCCATAAGTGAATGATTTAATAATGGAGATTTCACTCTCATTTTGAATACCATCTTTAACTGTCTAAGTCATGTAGAATTGAGCACATTAAAAGTCTTATAACTCAAACAACACAGTGTGGTGCGAGCTACTTATAAGTAGTATATGACGTGAGCGTCAACGTAATGTCTGGTAGCCGAAAATGGGGGAAGATCAAGAAAGGAAGAGTTAGAAAACAATGGAATTTGTATGAAATAGCATGAATAGTGACAATGGATTGATGTTTGGCAACAGGAACAGTCCAGTTCGATATGATGAACTGATTGATGTTTTGCAAATTAACGATTTACGATGTGGTTTTCCTATTTTACTGAGTAACTCTGTAATTTTCGTTAAATGCAATTCGATTGCCCCACCTGTGTTCTCATTCACTACAACAGTATCACTGTAAGTATCCAAATAAACTTTTAACTCATTCATCTAATGAATCAATGAATCAGTCATCATAAAGTCACCCTTAGAAACCTGGAAGCACTGGACGGATATATCAGCGACACTCGCATAAATTAAAGCTCCTATCTTCTGTGCTGTGCGCGCGAACCCCCTAACTTCTTGGACCAGTAAGCCTGCATTGAATGTCCAACTGTGATCAATCTAAAGATTTTGTTCAACCTTTCTCGTTCGTTGTCTTCGGTAATTACTAACCTACCTACATGTGACAGGATTGAACTCCACTAGTTACATCTTCTCTTCGAAGCCAGTCACTATTGAGTATATTTTGCGAAACGACTGTTCAGTGCCTCCGAGTTTCCTATGATGGCCTAACGATGACCGATTTATGACTTTAATGTACAACCCTATAACCAAAAATCATTATTTTATATACATAATTCCCAAAACAAATCCATTCAGCTGCTGATTATGATGCCCCGGCAAAATATAAAATAGTTCGACAATCTCAACCATATGGTACGTTGTCCGGTGATGCTGGCCTCCTGTTTATCGCTTATGCTGCAGATATAAAAAATTTCGATTTTATGTTAGATCGTATGACTGGGGATGGTGATGATCGAAAACATGATGATGTAATGCGTTTTACACAATGTGTTACAGGGAATTATTGGTATTTTCCTAGTCAACCGGAATTTGATCGTTTAATTGGTAAAGGTGTATGGGGATTTTGGTGATCATCAGAATCAATTCAATCATATTTTTTCAATCAACGGGCGCATTTTTTACATTTGTAATGACATAATAAGAAAAGTTTTTTCATTTTACAATAAATTGTCAGAGCTATTCGTTTTTTTTTTAAATTCTTAATCTATTAAGACGTAAATGTACACTAGTTCAGTTTAGTTATAGCTGTTTACTTTCGTCTGTTACCCCTTAAACGAAGCATAGGCCACCGACAAGAATTCGCAAACCGACTCTCTGTCCCTGGGCCTACCCGATATCTGAAATCGTACAAACAGTTGCTATATATATTTTTCTCTAGGATGAATTAACCGTCCGTCGATTATTTACTGAAACATATCATCATTGTGACAAAAGTGCGATAAGGTATTCTTACTCCTAACAAATCAGTGAATTTGTGTATGGTATATAGAATAGTGACTACTGGGTCCTGACCGGAGCTGCTATCGTGATGACCCAGCCGAGATATACTGGCATAAATCCATGAAGTCACTGACAAGTGGACTGAGTCATGTTGGTAGATGTAGGCGCTACATGGTTGGGGTCTGCGAGACGATAGTCACCGATGGTTAGAGACCTTGAACGACATGGCTCAAAATCGTTTGCAATGGCGTAGGTGCATCCACTGTTTGTGTTCTATGAAATTCTAAGCTTCTGCATTCCTCATAATCTCTATCTTTCTCCTTCTAAATTTATTTTACTGAATTATACTTCCCGAATCATATCCTTAATCTTCTCCATTTCTGCTGATACTTCTATTATTGCTATCACTCTTGAATTTGAACTGACAGTTCCGTCTCGGTGTGCTGATGGGGCGTGGCAACCTGAACTGATGTACGTACGTACGAAGTTCTGCGTTGTATCTGTCTATCTGTCTGACTACTGGGTGCGTTAACCGAGAAAGGTGGTTTTCTTATGGAATCATTTCTCGAGCCTTCGATTTTTAGGTCTAATCTACAAGACAGTAAAGCAACTCTATCAGATACTGTTCCATAGTCGATGACGACTCAGTTAAAGCTTCATACCATTTGATCCCTGAGGATTGTGAAGCATTAGTTCACAACCAGGGTTTTACAGTACCTTCAAGTGATCTTCCATCCTGAGTTTGCACTAAAAAGGGAGGATCCTATCAATAAATATTTTGTGATTGTTCATTTATACTGTTAACTTGTATAACTAGTGAATAATCACGTGAGTTTTTTTAGCCCAATAAAATGTTCGGTGGTTGTGAACTGGCTTTTCCAGTGCACTGATTAATAGTTTAGTTAATGCCTAATCAAGTCAGACTGAACTGTACTGGCGACTGGATGAAAACTAGGACATACACTAACTTGTTGAAATCATATGTGTGTGTGTGTGTGTCTAGAAATTGGGTCAACCTATGATTATCGTTATATGTTATGCCGAATTTTAAACTGATTAATTCATGTCTTTGTTGAATGTGATACTTATTTATTCGGTCATATGATTGGGAGAGTCTGATTCAATGGTCGCTTGTTCTGTAGTGAAGGCGAGAACACAGGTGAGAGCAACCGAATTGTATTTTACGAAAATTACAAAGTTACTCAGTAATAAAATAGGAAAACCATATCGTAAACCGTTGTTAATTTGCAAATCTTCAATCCATCCATCATCAATCCATTGTCTGACATTTCACTCACTATTCATGCGTTTCATACAAATTCCATTGTGCTCCCTCCACTCTTCCTTTCTTGATCTTCCCCCATCTTCTGCTGCCAGACATTACGTTTTTTTACTCGCGTCATATACTACTTATAAGTAGCGCGCACCACAATTCTTGTTCATTATTGTATGAATTATCATTAATTTTGAATCCACTAAAATTGGTCATAAAACGTTGTAATATTGCTTACTTACACCTATCAACTTTTAGTTCAACACAGGTCGCCGACCGCCTTTTTCCAATCGACTATGTCCTTGACTCTCTTTTACAGTTGTACTGAATTGTCATTCATCCTTTTGATATCTGTCTCCAATTCTCATGGTCATGTGTTTTTTAGTTTTCCTCACTTCCTTGGCCTTGAGCCTGTCTTGTGACGCTGTCGAATGCTTTCTTAAATGTATATCCCATGCACCTCCAGCGCGCTTTGCTAATTTATTCCTCAGCTGAAGGAGGCTGGTTGGTTCTCTTCAATAGTAGGTTGTTGATGGTCCTGTCTGGCCAAGGAAAACATTATCTGGCGTAGACCTTATTAATAAACGCCTGAATCGTTTCGATGATAGCTTACATAGTTGTCGTTCCACCTAGTAGAACGAACAGTATGGAGGTTGGTAATGAAAATTTTGACTTTCGTGTTGGTCAATAGTAGTTTTGAGTTCCAGATGTTCTTCGTTTGTATAAATGCTGTCCATGCTGTCAAAAGGTTTCTCTTAACAACAGAAGTTGAAGTAGAGTGATGCATCTCATTAGATTAGTCATTCAACAGTGAGCCGTCGTGTAGAGATTCGGTCAGTGTAAGGTTGATTTTCATTGGATCTAACTTCTTATTCTCAAAGTTGGGCGTCTGTTGATTCTCATTCGGTAAGAAAACATTCTGTTGAAGACTCTTCCTATTACTGATCGTAATGTGATTACTCTATGGTTCTTTCAGTTTGTTGGCACTTCTTCATACTTCCAAATCTAAATGAAGCAAGAGTATAACATCTTTGCCGTTACTTCCTTCTATAGCCGTTCTATGGTTACTGCGGGTTCCTGGTGCAGGTAAGGGAGGAGAGTTGAGGAGCATCCCATCCTGTGATAAACACACTTGCTTAAAACGCTAACCAGATAAAGCTTGACTGACACTAACATGTAATTAATCTCAGTCAGAGGCATGTGTTTTTGCCCATTGTTTTTGGGATTAGGAAAAACAAATTATATTCCTAAATGAACATTTATCAATTTATTTTTTCATGGTGTATAATTCACCACTGACTTTTCATTGGTCCTGCCCTTATGATAAACTTTTCCCTTATACTGTAGGAATATTGTGCTCTGTTCACGTGTGTATGTGCGTGTGTGTATGTGTACAGAAGCTTATGTGAAAGAATTTTGAATAGTGAAGAATATGTGCATTAAAAATTAATTTATTTGTAATAATGAAACCAATCGATAAAAAAGATAACTGTTGACTTAAACAAGAAATGAAGATTAGTTTTTTGACAAAGTCAAGTTTCAATTGTTTCAAACTACTATGAGTATATTTAAAATGAAAATATCAGAATATAATTCGTAATATTGATAGAAAGAAGTAAATCGATCAAAGGTGTCTTCGAAGCATCGCTCGTATATCCTGGGACACCCGAATGAGCAACGCTGTTATTAGGAAACAGCTGCTAGGTAAGAATGGTAGATAAATAGATGAAGTAATGAAACTTCATCAGTTGAGGTGGTTGGGACATGTGTTACATATGGCTAACCACCGACTGCCTCGACGAGCTTTATTTTGTAGTGTAGGAATAGGTTGGAAGAAAGTTAGAGGCTGCCAGACCAAAACATGGCACAAATCCATGAAGTCATTGACAAGTGGACTGAGCCATGTCGATAGTTGTCGACTACCTGGTTGGGGTCCGCGAGATGATAATAATCGATGGTTAGAGACCTTGAATGACATGGCTCAAAATCGTTCGCAATGGCGCCGGTGCATTTATTCTCTGTGTTCTCTCAAATCCTAATCTTCTGGATTCTTTAACCCCTCTAGTTTTGACTTTCTTAACTTTTCTCACTGAATCATACTCTTTGAATAATATCTTCTAATCCTAACCTCTCCGATTACTTCTAATACCTTTACTACCTCTTCTACTATTGGATTTGAATTGACAATTACATCTCTGTGTGCTGATGTGGTATGGCAACATGAACTGATGTACTTACGTACTAAGTTCTACGTTGCATCTGATTGACTGACTGAAGTTAATCGGAATGTAATTTTTTATTAAAAAAAACACGTTTATTATTTATGGAACTATGATCAGTTAATGAAAAGAGTAAAAATCGGTCTTTCAGTATTTTAATAACTATTAGCAGATGTGTAAAATACCCTAGCAATGC